AGCATTTTATACTGCTGGGAATATTTGATAAATTTGTACTTTTAAATTTCCCTTAGTAATGCAGTAATCAGTGCTAAATCGTAGGTAGCATAATAATATTAATATTACTTATTGATAATAATAATTTGTGTATTAGGATATATTTAAATTACACTAGTTTGGTCGTAATCCTACGTTACTGGGTCTATTCTAGCATAAAATAGGTAGACGAGGCGGCATCTATGCATCCACCTTAAGGAGCGGCTACGCGCAACATCAAACATTGATACATAGGTTGGTATCCCATGGACGCTAGTACAATAATTATAATTCAATATCATATATACTTATATAGAAGACAGCAATTCTCGAATAATTTTTGGACATTTAAATCACATTTTATAGAAAGAATAAAATATTCGAGTAGTCTAAAAACGGCGTCATCTAAGTTTAAAAAACTCTTAAAGTGGTGCACGTGGTAAAGAGGGCCGGGAGGCGATAAGTGTGTTCATTATCATCACCATAACAACCTACTAAGATCACCTGATTCTTCCCATAAGAAGATACTAATAAGATTTTCTTCACTTGCATTGATATTTTGTGTAAATGTACTTTCGACCACATTTTACATCCTGAGAATTAAAAGAATTTAGCATATCATATTTTTATTCCGCCTGATATATTTTAATACGGTTTTATTAATATTCTTAGGTAATTCAATTAGATGATAGATGGGAAGAGTGAGACTGTAAAATAAAGATTACCTATTACTTGTTTATTATTACTTTACTAATGTAAAGTAACAAGGAGCAACTGGCTCGAGTGTCGAGTTAGAATGAAAAACAAAAACACATGTCTATAAAAAATAATGTGTCATCTCTAGTCACTTGGGAACTCGATGACGCAGTGTAATGTGCATTGTTATTATATTATTCAGTTTTATTACAAATTTAGAGAATTATACCGGGACGCGATATTTAGAAACGATTAAACACTACGAGATCCACACTCGCCCGACCCCGCCCTCTAACACCGAGTCATTGACAATGATAAAATGTAGACATATATCTATCCCTACACGGATAGCTACACCCATAGCTTACATTAAATACGTGATATAAAGTTTTCTAATTTAAAAAAGCCACACTACATCTAATAATCCCTGATATTCTTTTGAGTACAGTGAATTGTATGCTGAGGCTATGACTAAGCTGAGGCTAAGAGGTTTTTAACAGCCGATTCATTAAGAAATACCTATCCATACACAATTATTATTCATGAAAATACAAGTTTCAAATAACTATCAGTGTTTCGCCATTTTCTTTCAAATTAAGAATTTGGATCGAAAGAAAGTGATGAAGTACTTCGATGGAAGTAATTTAGTAGTTTAGTATCTATCATTAAATTTTAAATATCTGTCAAACTTATCACAATAAGTTTGATAAACATTTAAGTTACCTGCTTTTTGCACTTACCCATCCCAAATCTAGTTACGTTAAAACAATAACCCAACATTCAAATCACTGCCTTAAAACTACTACAGCCCTAATCACTCTATAAGCTCTAGATAAATATAAAATATTTTGACATCTATAAATTTAAAGTTTAATAAGTCAGTTTGGTGTCGAAGTATGCGATTATATTTAGAACATATTACTTCAAATATTAAATAGAAACAGTCCAGCTGTCTGTTGTAGGTACATTAGTACAGTTTGGACGGCAAATTATTTGGTGGATCGAGACTAGCTGAGAGCCATAAGTCGTCTAAATAAATAAAAGAAGGTAATGTTGCAATTGAGATGGCGCCACCAGTCTGATATTGTTTTAACATGTCAATTTCGACACATTATATTTTCGATGAAGAATCAGGTGGACAGATACGTAGAATGTATACTTACCAGTTCACCCTTGACGCCAAAAGCAGAATATATATATAAAAGACACACTGGACTGCACAAATAATCTAAACATTACATACTACAGACAAAATCACATTCATTATAATAGACAGTGTAAAAATAATATTTATAAACATTGGCCTATGAGTTAGAATTCATTGTACTTGATCTAGTTGAAAGCTTATTGTTATTATCACACATACAGTTAGGTACCTAACAGGTAGATATCGAACGTTGAATATACAAAAGTTACACTATATATAGAGCCTAGTTTAGCAGCGAACTAACACTAATAACAAATGTGACGTCAGACTTGTATTAATTACAATGGTTTAATCTTAAGATATTCCAGTATTAGCGACTTGTTCCCACACCACCCTATGAGGACTGCACGCGATGCGCACGCGCAGTTTCAATTTCTACACCAATCCGGCGCATCGACGACCGCACCAACGTAAACTTTTTTTTTTTTTTACAAATAAAAAACACGTCGCATCAACCCGTTTGGATTACTTCAACAGTGCAATGGCAATACTAAAATTAGTCGTGTCTAGAAACGGACATATTACTGAGTCGCAATCTTATTTCTAAATAACAGGTGCAGTTTCAAAACGTTAAAGTTATGTTTAAATATTACTCAAATTCCCAAAATGGAATGAATCTCCTCTATAGCATACACATATTGTACTTATATGATGTATTCAACATCTGAAATTTGAAACATTTTCATTTAGAAAATTTTAGAAAATTCTTAAAACTTTAAACACAAATATTATAGAGAGCAAAGCTCAGTCCAGTAAGATATTTACTTAACATTTAACAGTGCTTACACTAACGAATGGATAAAAGCGAATTTTAACAGTCAGTCAATCGTGTTAGTTATAGACAATTATTAAATGTTTACATTTACGAAACCACTCTACGTTTTGATAAAAAAACTTTAAGACACTTTAGTGTAAGAATAAAAGAGCAAAGTCGTGATTATTTTTTTCACATATTAAGAATAGCTTTTTTTTTTATTTTTGTCACAATTTAAAAAACTATCTTCCATTGTTTTTTTTATCAAAACAAAAGTATTACTACTCGTCTATTTGATTTTTAAATTAATAAATTCAATAAAAAATTCACGTAAGATTGTTTACAAATTGTGGCAAGTATAGAAAAACAGATTGTAGGCATGCCTTGTCCTAACGACGCCTGATAAAACCTTCACATCAATATATCATAGAATTATTATAGAGCCATAAATTGTTATAATTGGCTTTAAAAGACCGAATGAATAATATAATTTTGGTGATATTTATACATGACAATTAAGTGTAAATATGGCATAATATGTATACTGCGGGTAGAATCATAATATTAAATGATAAATAAGAAATGGCTATAAAAATTTAAATTCGTAAATGTACTTTTTTATTGTATACGTGGTTACTATATGAATAAACCAATTTAAATACCACAATTGATAAATGTATTGTTTAATTTTTACCGCGGTAAATTCTCATGTAATAATGTACAGTCTGCATCAGATTAAATTGGAATCAAAAGCATGAGTTAAAATAATTTTACCAATTCACTTGGTAATTGAATTAAATTAAAAAAATTTCGATTGTGTGCGCTCCTTTACTACGCTAATGCGCTGTACTTTATCTTCACATCAGAGATGGCGTTAATGTGACTATATAATTATTTTGTTACTGTTTTTAGTGAAAATCAAATACGTAAACCTACAGTTCTATAGCTTATTGATCATAAATCATCTAAAAATCTGTAGCAAGTCTAAATGAGTACTGCTTCAATCTTCGTACCCTAAAGTCTTTTTTGTGATGAACTACAACAAAATATCTGTCAATTCTAGGCGTATAAATAGTTATAAAAAAACTTACGTAACTCCGTAAAACCAGTCTCATATCCCTCCTCGTCCCACTCCCAATTCCTATCCAATCATCGTCCTCATCAAATACGAAGGATGAAGCACTCTTTTACTATTATTCTTTTATTCTAAAAATGATTAAAATGACGGCGTAAAAACCACAATTTCCAGATTAGTACAATCAGGTGTATAAAATTGGGGCTATTTTTCCTTAAGCACTTGTAGAGAAATACTCCATCTAGAGACTTTTGGTCTATAGTCTAGAGAGTTTTTGTGAATTTAAGCAAGAATGTGTGCAAAAATTTCAAATATCTGATGCACACTGTAAACTTGTGCTTTTATTAATTAAAAAAAGAAATAATCGTCTAGAAGTAAACGAGCGATTCTGCTATCTAAATTACCTCGTCTTCATTGAACTACTATATTTTATTATTCCAAATTAGTTTACGAGTCATTTATGACTGTATATCTCAAAACTAGATAGACATTCAACACTTAACTGTGAAATGGGGTTATATTTGCATTTCACACATATTCGAATATTCGTTTGAGAGATATATTAATTCTCGCGATAAATTTGTACGCACTACGGTCCTATTTTGAAATACTAATAAAATAAATTGCAAAATGTTTAATGATATTGTACAAACGAAAATCAAATTAATAATATAATGAAATATATATATATGAACAGCGATAAGTTCGTAATTTTTCTAACGACCTAAAACACTATATTTACTGTACGTAAAATCTATGACACTAATTAGGGGCAAACTGAAATGTTTCTAATAGGCAAATAATAAAAATGATTATTGTCTGACACTGGGTTATTGTCAAGACAGCAGCTCGGCGCACGCGCCCTTCTATTGACTATATAGTAAGCGACGAGGGCGCCGACCGCTGTAGCGAACTTGGTGTCTAAATTTAACATACAGAGACATAAACAAGCAATTTCATTATGGCATAGTTAGAAATTGAAAAGAGTACTTGTTTTTTTGCTAAAAACCTTAATTCCAAATAAGTTTGCTTCTAATACTTTCTATTTTTTTATGAAAGCTGATAGACCTATAATATGATACTCGACATCACAGTTCGCTACCAGAGCGGTCAGCGCCACCACGACGGTAAATAGAGTATCACTAGTTGCGATGCGCACACGCAGGCAGGCGGCAGGCCCGCCGCAAACAGAACCAAACCAAAAACAGGAACATACGGAGGAAACAAAATAAAAATAAAATAAAAAAAAAAAGGATATCTGGATGTTTATTTACAATTTCATGTCTAATAATTTGATTCAAGGAAAACTTAAGCAACGTGTGTGCTATTCTTATAAACCCATATATTATAATGTTAATGATTTCCACTTGCGTTAACACAAGCCGTCCTATACGCTACATTAAAACAACAATACCCATTAATATAGTTAGACATCAGCTAGTACCCACGGTACTTGATTCAGTTTTGCACGAAAACATTATAATGTATTACAATCACTTCACAGATAAAATTAATGAATACCAACATAGCAGTTACAATCACAGTGGAATAGAATAAGGTGCGCACGCGCACCGGGACAGAAACATAGTCAAACTAAAACGATATAAAAATGAATTATATAAACACAATAGCAAAATTCACATCCTCATATGGAGTATTTGTACATTTAATCGGTCGATATACTATATGTATAGACAATTGTAGAGATCGCCAATGTACAGGAAATTTATTGGAAATTCAGTTTACTTCGTGTTAACTTATGTGCTTCGCAAATATGCAATTTTATTACAAAAGTAAAATGTTATTGCAACCGCCCAAATTATATAGTTTCAAACTAATAATTATATGGAAATAGATCACAGTAGTATGTAGTATTATCAATATTAGAGTGCATGTATGTACGACCGAACTGTCTAGGGAAGATTCTCCATATGCACAATAATAAGTAGTAAGTAAATAACTTCGACTAAACGATACTCAAATAAATGTTTTACTAGCTAAGAAAAAAATAATAATAATTACATAGTAAATGTTAACATTCCATCGTTAATACACTTAAAAATAAAACCCCAAAACTCCGACTTATTAATATGTAATACATTACTAGACCTTACAATTTGGCCGCACGAGGTCCGCGCAAACAGAATCACTACAACACTGTTAGTAAAATAACAATCCTATCGCTACACAAAAGTATAAACTTACAATCACAAAAAGCATCATAGAAACTTCCTATCAATTGCAGTTTGAATAAAACTGTTACAACTATACATCCATATGAATAAACACGAGAAGCGATATAAGCTTATACAAAATCATATTGTATAATTTAAAATAGATCATTCGCATAGCATTAAAAATTATAGAACAGCTATTACTTTGACAGATAACAAAATCTCTGTGAGAAATGTCTTGTACAATTAAAAAAAAAAGAAAAAAATCAAAAAATTCAAATTAATTCTATTTTGTAATTATTATTACCGTTTAATATGTTTCTATTTTGTGCATTATAAATATTGGGGATATAAAATTATTCGATTCAGTTTGCGCTGACCATACCGTGGCGGTTAGGGAAACAAACTGGGGGGGTTACGATAAGGGTGCAGTATAGAGATCATTGACTACGCATCGTTAGAGGCAATCTCTTACTACGCTCACATACACCTAAAATGAGAGGTTGTAAATTGATTTTTTACTGTATTAAGATATGTATTATAAACTGGGCTGCAAGTTTGCTTCACTGTAACTCTACAGAGTCAGTGTACACACTGATCTGTCCAAGTCAATTTTGAATACACTATTTTTAAGTAAGGAATTAATCACAAGAATTATAAGTAATAATGACTTTTTTTATAATAATATTTTAAAATATTAAATTATAATAATTTTAAAATAGAATTTTATAAGTAGAAAAATTAACTTGTAACTAAAAAAATAAGTGATAGTAGGCTTAGAACAGATTAATAATTAAAAAATGTAATTTAATTAAAATGACAAATTTTCTATGTATACCTAATTAATTCGTTCGAACTTAATAATGAAAAGAAACTAATAAAAAAAATACAACATCTAATTTTTAGGTGTATGTAATATAAACATTGCATAGAGCAAGCTAAATAATTAATCTTACTGAAAAAAAAAAAAAATTTTTTGCAACAGTTTATTGTCAAGTTAGAGAATTGATTGTGACATAATTTTGAAAGGTATTCAATTTCAAATTAAACCAACAAATGAAATTGGACTCTAATGTAATTAAAACAGCGTATTCGATGCAATGTTCAGACGAGTTACGTAGTTGATACAAACGAATCAAATATACTGATGCATTACAACAACTAGAACCGAAGTATATAAATCTAAATAAAATATTATTGTCACGCAGCAATAATTCACTAAAATGTAAACTAAATTAATACAGATACATAGTCTTGTCATAAAAGTAATTTTAATAGTTAAAATTACAACAACATATCAATATAAAAGAATGTTATCATGAGGCGTCACATGAAAGCCTCGATTATATGTAAAAACACTTAAAATATTCAAACTAAATACTAGGGAATAAGCAAAAATAATAATAATAATGATGACGAACAAAAGGGGAGGAGGGGGACAAGCGACGCACGCAATCGGACAAACGACGTGGTTTTATGATATGAGACTTGTACATGGCTTACTTAATACTTATATACAGAGACCCGAAATGCGTGCGTGCGTATCGCTTGGAACTCAATACATCGGTGCTCAAATACATGTAGTACACAGCTGGGCCTGCCATACGGCGTAATGTAACGGCAAACTGACGCGTAACAATTCAGCAAAATAAGTGTCACTAAACACTACGCGAACCCTAAATTGCAGTCGTAAATAAACGCTTTTATTTATAATAAAGAAGATTAATTTGTTGTTTCAATAATTTCCATCTATCTAATGAGAATAATATACATATATATTAACTTGTTAACTATCCATTAGTGCATACTAAATGTTTATAAAACTCTTACGATGTTTATCGTTTTTTATTTTTATTTTATTTTTTTAATATAGTTGAATCTACATCTATACAAGTAGTCCATCACCGCGCCCTAAACACATTAATCTACATAATACAAAGTCGTTAATGCGATTAAACACAGCATAATTGTTTATTAAACACGTGGGATACACTCCCGCTACAACGCTACCTGATATGGAACGTAAAAATCCATTCTCGATATCTAAAGCGAATCCATTAACAACTATAAGTATAGAAATTAAAATGAAAAATTATAATTGACAAATTCACCGGTCACGTACAATTAAAACTGTACGACGAGGCCGTTCGTACGACCTTCGCCGCAGTCAGTACCAACGACCGCGCCGTCACTCCACTATTATTACACATCCCAATAAAAGATTTGGTACAAACACTAACACCTACAATAAAATATTAGTAAATGCAATCCTACTTGCAGGGTTACTGCAGCAAAATAACCATAATGAACGCCAAATTTACAAATCCATATAATACACGTGAACAAAACTCTAATTACTAACGTACGATTGTACGAACAAACAAGAATTATGTATGCAGTGCTGACAATAGGCGACCGACCAGGGAGACAGCGTCTCGCTGCCTATCTAAACTTAAACATTATATACTTGTTAAGTATAACATCGATCCGCGATTACACATGGTAGATCGTACTGGCTAAAACTAAAACTTCTAGCCGAATAAATTTACATTAAAAACCTAACGACTATACGTCGTTAGGGGGCATTGTTAGGAACGTGGCACACGACGCGCGACACACACTAGTCATAGATTTAATTAAAAATTGCAGTGTGCTTGAATCGATCGAGCGTGTCCGGCTCCCGGGGACCACTCGGGCTCCCTTATAGGCGAGCAGATCGCCGTCTCGCTCGTCGATAAGGGCCGCTGAGTGCGGAAGTCATACACAAGTATGTAATATACAGACGCTCAAATTAATTAGTATGAAGATCATCGAAGTTTCTGGAACATTCCATTCGTAGAACAGTTTAGTGATCGGAGCGTTCGCTTCGACAAAAGTCAGTCGACCGAAACGACGGCTCCCTAGAGCGCCCGTCGAGGGGGGTGGACACGCGTAAATTCGTGGAACTGTACTCGGTGCTCGGGTGGCCCAGACTGTAGTAGTCGCTTCGGTAGCTGTCGGTGAGGAGCGGCGGGCTGAAGTAGTCGAAGTATATAGAGTGGAGTGAGCCGCAGCTGTCGAGGCGGAGCGGGGAGAGGTCACCCGAGGACAGCGAGCGCGAGGAAATGGGTGTGAGTTCAGTCGGTGTACCAGAGATGCTGCTGAGGGTGCTGGGGATGCTGCGGGTGCTGCGGATGCTGCGGCACGAGGTACGTGGGCGAGTACGTCTGCAGGTAGGGCGGTAGGCGGGCCCCGCTCGCGTGGTGTGCGGGAGGGGGGCCGCCCACGCCGCCCACGCCGCCCACACCACCCACTCCGCCGCTGGTGATGAAGAAAATATTTTTTTGCATTTAGAACGTTAAAACTTTATTTTTCTATAAATCTCCAATTTAGAACTAATAAAATTTACGTCTTAAATTGGTTTTTTACCCATGGAAATCACTTAAGTACAAAAATGTATAATGAAAAATAAATGATGATATAAAAACAAAAATCGTTACATCTACAATAGACAAAATGGACTATAAATAAATTGATACGCTAAAAATATATGAAATAGTATCCATTTATACTTACGTATGATAGTGGTAAGTAGGTACATAAAGAGGTGGCGGAAGGTATCCTGGAGAAACGCCACCGCCCGGGGATAAAACACCACCACTCCCAGTTCTGAAACATGACAATTTATGCGTTAGCACTTTTAACAAGACTGAAGAATTCCAATAACAAAATATATCATGGACAGCACGAGAATATAGGCATAACCGTGTTCTCCCTCTATACCCTGTTTTTTCATTGTAATATGCCTTTCAAATCACAGTTCTTCTCCACAGACATAGAAGCATAGCTGCTTCACGGTTTAAATATGGGTGGCTATAAGAATAAAGACCAGAGAGAGACTGAACAAAAGTCGTTTGCTTAGGCATCTCTGTCTCATTCGTATTTCTACTGTGAAGCAGTTGTGTTTGCATGGCTGTGTTTCGATTTCAAGGGTGGAGATATGGCAGTGAATTTACAGGGTAACAGAGGAATAACACTTGAGTCCTCAGGAATAGCAACGCATGGAGGGTATCATAGGGGAAACAGTATACTTTGTTATGTACATAATACTGCTTATGTCTATAGGTGACTGTTACCACTTTCCATCAGGTGGGCCGTCAGCTTGTTTGCCACTCTTAAGTTGCATAAAAAAAACCTTGATAAAATAACTCTTAGCACAAACCCAAATTGACAAACAAGCTGACGTGTTTGTCATTCTATGTTCCATAAAAAAAAGTAAGTAAAACCCATTGTACATACTTATAATGCGGATGGGGATGATGATGCCAGGCGTGCGGCGCCGCATGCTTGTGCGCGGCGGGCGGGCCGCTCACGCTCACGCTCACCGCGCCCACGCCGCCCACGCCGCCCACGCCGCCCACGCCGCCCACGCCGCCCACGCCCGCCGACAGGTACTCGCCTCGACCGCCGCTCTGCATAGACAATCATTTATTTATTTAATAACGTTCACCAACAACTTTTACATTTTACATGCTACTCAATCAATAACACAAAAAGTAATTTTGCCTAATGTAAAAGTCTCTTACAGGCGAACACAACATGCACTATTATAATATTTAATAATAATTAACAATAACAATATCTGAATAATAAATAGATTAAGAGCTTATGTCTAAAATTTTCCTTAATAAGTTATATCCACTGTTAATAATAATGATCATTAAATATAATTATGGTTACTAGGTAGATAATTTAAATGTTTGTTATTCACGCTTATATGAAATTCCATCAAAGTCTTGTCACCTAGTGATGATGATGATGATTTTCATAATGATGACTAATGATTTTCATTGGAATACGAAAACTATTATATTACTAATTATACGAATAACAAAATCAATGGGCGTTGTTATACATTTCCGTGGAACTCCACGATATCATATGTTTTTATCGTCACGATACAATGGGAGAGCAAAATGTATGAATTTGTATGGAGACGCTTTTGGACATTTTAAGCAAACGTGGTCGTACACGATCACTGCACTGCCGTAACCTTTCCGTGGCAAACCTAGGCTCTCTTATAAAATCGTCGCGGCAATTGTGGATGTGCAGTGTATACGTACAAAAATATTAAATATGTGTGAGTGAGCCGATGCTTCCGGTTACCTGTCAACACTGCTTCCTACCCATCCCCTAGGGAGATACCCATAACTTTAAGAGGAAATTAAACGCATATTTTTCCAGTCGATTTGAAAAAGGTACATGTTTTGATTTCGACAAAATTGTATTAATACTCTGTTAAGCAATATTTCCGGTAATTCTGAATTTAGTATTAGAATTTAAATATAAAAGAATAAATTTATTTAAAGACCATGCGACTCGCACAGTAGCTTACAAAACACGAACAAAAGAAACAAAAAATAAAAGTAAACCATGGTATACAAATAAAAAGTATCTACTGTTTTCTACTCGGTCGATGATAAAGTAAAAAAAAAAAAAACAGTAAAACAACTCTTAAATTTAATATCGATATCAATCCAATTACCAATGACAAATTTGTACTGTACTCATGAAACAACAGTTAGAAATTACGTTAGAATTAGGATCGGTATGCAATAGTTTGTACTAGCAAATTCCAATAATGTATCTATTAGAACAAAATAAAAATATTTAATTACTACTGTCGCAATTCAAGAGTGCGAAAAATCTCAACTCCAATGCTGATTTATTGGAATTTATTTTAAGAGTGACCCTACAGAGGTGTATACGAATGTGTACGTGTGCGAGTGTGTGTCGTAATATTCTATGAAATAGATCCGTGCTTAGCATATTGCTGCAGCGCTGCATTTCAGCACGAACCATAGCGTATGCGTAATATGAAAGAGTATAGATTAGAATTTAAAAAATTCAAAAGTAGTTAAGTTCGCAATACAAAAATAATCAGGGCCTCTAGACAAGTGGCAAGCGAATTCGTCGATGGAATCAACTTCGCTAGCGAGCCGTGAGTTGGAATGAGACAACCGACGTTGCAATCTCATTCTGTCTAACGGACTCGTCGCTAGCGATGTCGTTTCCATCGACGAATTCGCTTGCTACTTGTCTAGAGGACAAGAAACGGAATTTATATAGAAAATGTGAAAACAGATATACTTAAATTTTCGTTGTGAAGTCGATTGAAAATAAATATGGTGCTAAGGAACATCACTATCAAACTATTTCATGCTATATTTCACTTCATAGATCTATTTGTATATTACAAAACTATAACAAATGGTCATCGCCATTTTTAGTACTATGCAGTGGACAAAATTTTAACAAGTATATAATGGTAATCTGCCATCTTGTGTCTATGGCCATATTTAAACATGTAATTTATTTTGTCAGATGTATTAACAGAGTTAAGTATATAATGGTAATCTGCCATCTTGTGTCTATGGCCATATTTAAACATGTAATTTATTTTGTCAGATGTATTAACAGAGTTGATAAAATATACACAATACTTCATCTTGTAACAGCGGCCATTTTGAAAATATTACAATATTAAGTATTACATATACATATATTACATTATATATAATATACATTACATATACAACATTAGCCAAAAGTATTTGCCACCTTTGAAAATTACAATTAACTTAAAAAATACTCAAGGATTAGCCGGGAAATAAAACCATGTACTTAAAATACCTTTAATGCGAAAATTACATTAATATTTTGTATCGAAATCCTTTAATTACAGCATTTATTCTTTTAGATAAAGAGGAAATTAAATTTTTACATTCTTCTTGAGTAATGTACTCCACACCTGTACTAAACACTTCTTTAAAATTTCTTTGGAAGCAATCGAATGTTCCATTATCTCTCGCTTTAAAATTGACCATAAATGTTCGATAGGGTTATCATCCGGTGACTGAAGTGAGCTGAACTTAAAAGCTCTATACCGTGTCTTGTGGTCATCTTGTACCGATTTAAGGTATACCTTACAGTACTATGAGGACATTTCATAATCTTAGCACTTTCACTTTTATTTTTGTCTTCTTCACACAACAACTGGATTTTTAATCGTTTCTCTTTACTTATTTCACGGCACTTAGACATTTTTCTAATTTTTGTTTTACAAACTCTGCTTCACGTAAAACAACAACCAATTTACAATAACTTGTCGACAGTTCTACACACTATAACGAATCGTAGTAAACTAAAAATTTCCCTAAAATTCGACTTACCTGGAAATGAATCACCTCTATTGTGTTTATAGTTTTATGAGATGGTCCGTTGTTTTGATTGGCTCCTTTTATTCTTTAGACGTATACTGTGCGACAATAGACCCAGTACAAGTCAATAGATAAGAAATTTCTAAGGACTTTTAGGGTGGCAAATACTTTTGACCAAGGCTATATATATTATAGTAAATATTGTCAACAGAAAGTAAAGAAAATTAAAAAGCAGAATTACAGTAAAATCTGTTAAGATAAATTAGTTATAATTTAGATTGCAAGATTTTACTTAAACAAATAAACTAAGTAATATATATGTAAATTAAACATTTGTACAATAATAAAAGAAATGGCGTCGACATTTCATGATATCTTGGACGTCCACAGAAAAGGGTAATAGCATTCATTTGCACGATATATCGTGGAACTGCACGATAATGACGTGAAGTTCAGGATAAATCGTGCACGGTAAAGAGTAAAAACGCTCATTACTTATTAAACGTATAAGTAAACTATTAATTAAAATATTAATTATAAATTTACAGTGGCAGGGTCGCAAGAGATTTTATTTCACTTTTTGGCTTTTTCGTGGATCACGACATAAAAATGGCTGAGAAAGAAAGAAATAAATAAAGAAATTTTTTTTTTTTTTTTATTTAAATAAACTTAGATTTAAGCATTTTTTAATAGTATTTTTTTCATTATAGCCTATTCGGAACGCCATTTCAGACAAGAAGAACGGGCAAAATACACAACTGTTGCTTTTTTCAAAAAAATTAACTATACATATAAATAATAAATTTGTGTGAATACAAACTAATAAACAGCATCTGATCATAAAATTTAAAATATACAATTAAAACAAATCACTAAAATAAATCCATTGCAATAACCAGAGCAGACCAGTCCCTCCTTACAAGCAGCACCCGTTCACGAGTATGACGGGTGAGCCAGCCATCATTGCGCTTAACCATACTTTAGCAAGAACCCAGCCCACCACGCAACCACCCTTCTCATTTTAGTGAGCAAGACTTACTCAAGCCTCCAAACCATGTCATAGCCAAAATTAAGTATTAAACATTTAATTTAAAAGTTATAGTTAAAAATAAAATAATTCTATACTATATACTACATAACAATTAAAGCATTAAATATTACACAATAAAAGATAATTAATTAATAATAAAATTGCCACATAATTTACTAATTCTGATACAATCATACTAACAAAAAATAATATTATCAGCAAATGAAACAAAATATTAAAAAAAAATGAGTACATTTTTGTTTATATATTATTATCATTTAAAAATCCGTTTAATCTATAATATGTCTTCTTAGAAAGAATGCGTTTTATGCTAGATTTAAACCTTTTTTCAGGCAAATTCAGAACCGACTCTGTTTGTTATAAAATCTTACGCAATTCCCAAAGAAAGAATTACCAACCTTAGTTGAACTGCATTTAGGTAATATTAATGTATGATTATTGCGTAAGCTTCTATTCGTACAATCGCTAACTTTTTTAAAAGTGGTAAATTATTTTGCTTTTATACATAACATTCTCGTAAATGTATTGAGAAGCAACTGTGCGGATATTAAATGTAACTACACATATTTATCACGCAAAATTGTATGAAAAAGTTGATCCGCTTTTCTCGAAGCATTTTGTATGGAGACACTCTATCTATATAATCTAAGTAAAATATTTATTGATTCAGTCATCAATGTTTAGTTACCATTGTTTCATTTGAATCTAACAAAATATATAATACAACTTAATAAAATGAAAAAATATTATTAAGTTGTATTCTATATTCTTCATTGCACTTGTAAATTATATGTAATAAATAATATAATTATAATAATAAATGTTGTGAGCAAGGGTGGACTTATGTTAATATTATTTTTGTTTTCTCAGTGTTCTAAATAATAGGTTCTCAATATCGAAGATATTTCTTTCTGGCGAAGTGTGAAATCTTCCATATTTTAGAGTCACAGAGTCTACTTACACTATCCCTTTTATTATGTTGCGCCGGAACATATTGATTGCATTGGTACTCGTTCGTTTGGCGTACTGTCGAACCGCTCTAGAAGTGAAAAGAAAATATTTTTTCTAATCATAGACTAATATCATTTTATTATCGTTGCAGGTGGCTCGGGACCGTTCCTTATGGCAGTATATGAAGGAGGCCTATATTCAACATACATACATACATACATATCTGTCACGCCTGTCTCTCATTAGGGTAGGCAGAAACAATGGAACACCAAATGCTTCGATTCAAACAAACCTCTTTCGCTTCTTCCACATTCATCAATCTTTTCATACATGCTCGCCGGTTAAGGGTACTTTTAATTTGGCCCTTCTTCAGCACGTCGGCTATTTGATCAATGGCTGATATAATAATGATGATAATAATGATGATGATGATGTTGAATCATACTTTCAATTAATGTGAAGATTTTTATTTTCACTACTAGGTATGGAAAGAGATGAATCTATTATTGTAGAACTATTAATATCTAGTTATAGAATTAACATAGTTAATCATAAGTCTTATTTAGTGAAAACTTTGCCATTGATTGCAAAAAATATTTTAATATTTGAACAAAAAATCTAATCTAAGGGTAAAAAAATAGTGGTAGATTTATCTGCAACCCATTCTACTTTTTCATTCACAATCAAAACACTTTTTATATAATTAATCAGGAAAACAGAAAACTGTTTTTGAAAATTGACAAATAATTTCGTCATATCGCTATGAGTGTTCTTATGCCACTTATTACCCCTCTAAAAGAATATGTAGATGGATACAATAAGATATACATACCGGTGCGTAGTGCAGCTGCGGCTCGGGCTGCGGCTCGCGCTTGGCCTGCGCCTCCTGCTGCGCGAGCGCAAGCAATCGCTTCTTCTGACTCTGCGGCGTCGCCTGCGGGGCCGGACCCGTGCGGCCGCTCGACTGCGCATTGTTACTAGATGGCGGCTGCTGCTGTTGGGGCTGTTGCTGTTTAAAACAAAATAATATTATTTTCTAACACTTATTTTTGTTTATTTACTAGCTTTTACCCACATTAATCGCATAAATTTTGGATGTAGAATCTAAATATCAGAAAAACACAGACACCAGATTTTAAACTAAGCTTGATCTTTAGGTAACATAACTATGGGAATGGCATCCAATAATCATATCCCCCGTTCCTTATGGCAGTCTATGTGGGAGACCTATGTTCAATAGTGGACAGATAATGGCCGATATGATGATGATGAATGATACCCCAGTCACGCAAACACAGGTGCGGATAAAAACCCATATTTTATATAAGAGAGTGACAAACGAAAATTATGGGAAAATAATGGTGAACAGTCGCGATCATAGCGAATGATCAAAACATTAGACCCATTATCTAGGTGCTAAATAAATTTTTACACAATTTAAAGTACATTTCAAATGAAAGATCCATAACTAAACTATATGTCGCATAATAAAGGTATAAATTGAATACTGATACAGAACGTCCCTCTAATCTATATGGCTAAAAACAATAATCAAACTTGCATTTCCGTTACAAGATTGAATGCGAACATACCAGGTGATGGTGATGGCAAGGTTGGTGCTGCTGGTGCGGCTCGTGCTTGACGTGTCGGTCGTCGGAGGAGCGGGCGCTGCAGATGACTCCGCCGCTGACTACCGCTCCGCCGCCGCTACCGCTGCCGCTTCCACTACCGCTACCACTTCCGCTGCCGCTACCCTGCGCGCCCGTCGCCACGCACTCGCCGCTACTGCCTGTGTTGCAGACAATATATTGTTTAATATTCTATTTGTATTTTATTACTATGTTGATGTAGTAAGGGGTAGTAAGGGGAATGGGATTGCTCGTAATGAGAAAACTGGTCCCACTGCTGGCCTTCTACTAATAAACAACACAGAAACCAGTGTTAAAAAAGGGGCATTTTAAAACAACTCATGAATGGGTTTACTACAGTCAATATTGCATAGATTACGTTTAATTTGTAAATTGAATGTTGGTCTTATTCAATCTATGTTAGCTGAACTTAAACCAGAAATTTTTGAACATCTCTGTAAATTATTGATGCCCATTAATTCTTCTCTTTCCGCGTCTAGGGAAGGTAGATAAAGTTTTGTTTGAGAAATCAGTTCAGGGTACAATAGGACTGATATACCTGAAGAAGGTAAAAGCCCTTAAAATAATTAAAAAAAAAATTATCTTGATCCATAATGCTTTTAAATTTACATACTTATATGTAATCAGAATAGTGATCAAAATTGATTGACAATTGGCGAAGACAAATAGAAAATAAGGAGTACCTCTGTTATTGTGCGGCTGCGGTGCGTTGGCGACAGGCTGACGGTTGCGACGCGGCTGATCGCTGTCATCATCGGAGTCCGAGATGGTGATGACGGAGACGGCGGGCGATGGTGTGTCGCGGATGGTGATCGTGTGGTGGGCAGCGCCGCACACGACGCCGCCGACGCTGCTGCCGACAGCGGCAGCCGCGACCCCAGCGCTGGGTCCCACGGCGCTGGACTCCCAGGCGCCGGTCGCGCCTCGGCTGTTCCTGTACATCGACCATATTGTTCTAAATTGACAACAGATCGAGTAATTGTCGTGTCAGTAACGTAGCAAAGGGTGTAGTCAAACTAAAATCGAGTTCCCTTTATCTCATAAAATGTATCATTCAATCGTTGGTAATTATTAATATATAGATAGACATATCACATAGCATGTAGGCAGTATGTGATCATCAGAACCAGTCATTATTCCGAACTACTTATTGATTGTCATTAACCCTATTATAAACTTGACGGTTGACAAGTCCGTAACTTGAGAAAAGTTGAACAAATTTGGCTAATTTATTAGGGAAAGAAAAAATGAAATGTCTATATAAATTAGGATCAATAATACAATGGTACAATGAACATCATAATACTCATAATTCTATTCATGTCTATAGGCGACGGTTACCACTTTCCATCAGGCGGGCCGTCAACTTGTACTCTAGATATCATAAAAAACCATTATCTGTCAAGTTATCCAGTCAGTCCATATAGGTGAACTAAGCCTAGGGCTAAGGCGAGAACTATCTCTGTATACTCACGAGTGGTCGTGATGATGATGCCGGTGCCGCGACGGCGGTGTGCCCTCCTTCACCCTCTTCTTGACGGGCGACAGTTGAGTGGGCTCCTTCTTGCTCCCGCTGTTCGCCATACTGTCCAGACACGTTTGAAATTATTATGCGTTATATAAGACGAAATTATATTTACAAATGCCTCAATTGTGTTGAAAGTTTAATTTTACATTATAATTATAATAATTAAAGATTGATCCCATAAAACAAACCGATCATTACAAAACCAGTTACACCTATCCCCCGATTTACACGGTACTTGTTTTACACGTTTTCGCTTTTACACGGTTTTCCAAATAAGTTTTTTTTTTTGTTTTTATCGCACTCGACTAAATGCTACTGTGTTTGAACACGTGCGCTGTGTACACATCTCACGGGGAATCCCGACCTTATGTGCTGACTTGCTGCACATGCACACTGTGTCTGTATTTCTTCGCATAAAATTAAAGTTTTATCTACGAAAAATTGTATTTGAGTGAAAGTTTCACAGTGTCAGAAAGATTTAATTTTTCATATTCGTAAATTACAAGTGAGTGCATAGTGTAAGATTTTTATAAATTAACATAAATTAAAAAAAAATTATAGGCTTATAATGTCGAAAGAAGTTAAAAGTTATTTCTTTAGAAACTAAAATCGAAATTTTGGATCGCTTACGAAAGGGAGATAGAGTAGTAGATGTTGCAAAATCATATAACATGAACGAAGCTACAATAAGAACTATTAGAACAAATGAAAATTTTTATTTTTAGTTCTGTGTACACCTAAAAATATTGAAAAAAATCACAACTGTTAAATAGTAAAATTATGCATTTTCTGCAAGCTTTTCGATTTACACGGTTTTGACTTGAAAATTTTTAATTTTCGATTTGCACGTTTTTCTCAGGAACGTATCTACCGTGTAAATAATCGGGGGATAGGTGTATTTTGATCTAAAAATTAAATTACTGAACCGATTTTGATAAAACTTCTATCGACTAATCTGAAAATACATCTTTTCAGATAAAAAAGAATTTTCCAAATCGGTTTAATACCGACAGAGTTATGAGGTAACAAACATAAAAAAAACATAGAATCAAATTGAGAGTCTGCCTCTTTTTGAAGTCGGTTGAAAAGTATTATACCTCATAGAAACCTGTTTTCTCTTTTATTTTATGACTTTTAACAGACAAAACACCTCAATAAATAAATTGCTTTATTAGTTGTTTGAGGTTTTTTGGAATTTAACAATTGTCGGGTATCACCAGAAAGACTTAACTATTAGGGTTCAGCGTTAAAAAAAATATTCTATCTATATTATTGAAGCATTTGTAAATTATATATGAAATATAATAATATAAAATGTATGTAGTTTTATACATAGTAGAATGTGCGGAACCTTGATTGGTGCTTAATTTTAGTGAACATTAGATTTTAATGTAAAAAAAATCTTTAATATAAAGCTACTGTTACGGATTAACAAGATTTTTTTAATAAAATACAGCTTATATTATTCGCTGATAACGTAGTTTTGTCTATACAAAGAATTTAAAAATCGATTAAGTATTTTTTAAATTAATTTATAAATTTAGACATTGCTAACATATGTCCTAATTTACGACTGTCATACATACGCGATAATGTATGGTACGTAAATTAAATACATTTCTTTTATCGCTACACGACACATCTATTAGTAATTGGCGTGGCCAACAAAGTATAATAAACTTTAACACATTGTACGAAACAGCTTTTTGCAATGAAATAAAACTTCTATAATAAAATTTCTATTATAAATTAAAGTTCTATGAATTAAAAAGTTCTATGAATTAAAAAGTTCTATGAATTAAAACGTACATTGAAGATAAATTCGCAAAAACTATTCTAAGATCTATTTTTTACAATTAGGTTGTGTGATTATATATATTATGTGATATATATTCATGTATATTTGTTATAAGCACCTGTATTGATGTGTTTGGTGGTGCGGCGGATAGTGCGGTACCGCGGCCGCTTGCTGCTTTGTTGATCTGTTGACAACCCTAGCGTTATTACTAGTATACATACTCTCACTACTACAGGGAACTATTTAAAATTAATTAATTAATTAAATTATAATTTCTATGTAAACTACAATAAAATAATGAGTATTTGAGACAAAGTTTTACAAGATATTGTAATCTTACAAACAAGTAACTAAACGATATATGTACATGGGAGATATTTAAGAAAAAAATAACATGAACGATACTTAATAAATATATTATCATGACAAAATAATTTTTAGAAATTTTATCTGTATTTTTCGGTATCACGAAAAAATTACTACGCCGAATTAGATACGGTTTTTACAGTTGTATTCCTTAGGGTCTAAGTTAAAATGTGGCGTATATTACATCGTTGACATCCATCGAAGGGAGTGTTCTATCAGCGAAACAACATTTTCAGCAAATGAGGGAATAGAAATTGAGAATTTGGAATATGTTGAGTTAGTAATTGGAGATTCGAATCTATTTATCGTTTCTGAATCTTTGATATTAAATTTCTATCCTAATATGTTCTACATATTTTTTTTTTTCGTTTGAAATTTAATTTCAAAGTTATTATAATATTCAGACAATCCAAATTAACAATTATTTTATTCTATGGGTATTTGTGCGTATAAATTAAATTCGGGAATTCTATATGTTTTATTAATTTGTTTATTTTATTAATATACACTCTTACAATAATGCACCACCTACTTATTGGTCAGTTTTTTTTCAATTGTCGTCTGGTAACCACCAGCACACCATCCGTTGTTAAGTTTGTCAAATGTATATAGAATTACACTGTACATTAAAAGTTAAAGAAATAAATATTCTTACAGTATTGCAGTAGACAAAGGATCATCCTCATATTCGGATTCACACACACTATATATTGGGAAGGTTCTTAGTTCTTTGTACTGCTAACCATTTCGATAATATTCTGTGCTTCAATGCATGTTTACTCGTAAGTTCTTTCATTTTTTCTCGCTGAAGAACCGACCTTTTATGCGGGTGATGGTGTTGCGGGTGGTGCGGATGGAAGGGATCCCAGACTTCGGGCTCGGGTAGAGGTGCTGGTTCAACGATAAGCGGCGCTCGCCACTCGCCCACCGCGCCCACGTCACCGACGCCTGCAACGCCAGCTACACCGTGCTGGTGGTGAGCCGCCGCGGCCGCAGCCGCCGCCGCCGCTAACTGCTGTACCTGCAACAAATAAATATTGTTGAGGGTGTCACATTTAAAATATGAACAGCAAAAACCAAATTATTGTTATTGTTCTTTAAACACACAAACATATTTCTAAGTTTTTTGTTTAGAGATTCTTTTTAAGCGAATAGTTTTTTTTTTTAATAATTGACACTAAAGTCGTTATGGGATGGACAAAGTTGGTCAACATTTTCTTTCAATTTAACATTATTATGTATATCTGTCAGTTTTCACGGTTACGCAGCCATGCCGATTTTGATTTGCCTATCGTGGCCATGTTTGGCAGGCTACAATTAGGCTTTAGTGATCTTTAAATCCAATAATTTACTTGTTAGTTTTACCTGACATACCTGGTAAGCGGGCTGGCACAGTATTGACGAGACGAATTGGTGCGGGAATGGTTCGGCCGCACGAGTGGCGTACTGCCTCGCGCCACCTACCGCAACCCGACCGCCTTGGTATAGTTGGTACTGTGAACAATATATATATTATAAATCAATTCTGTTACTTTTGAAACAGTGTTAAAATTTTTATCAGTCATTGTTCGTCTCTGAATGATGAATGAACTATTGTGTTATTCACACAGTATTCATACTTTTCATTATTTAAATTCATAGTGTACTGTAAGAAATCTAAAGACAAAACCACAAAACTTTATACCGACACAATACAATATTTTGTATTGATATTCTTCTTTAATGATCAGAGTGTTTTCCAAACATAATACGTATATATTTACAAGTGTGCCTATCGGGGGGAAAGGGATTGTTAGTAATGGAGACTGAGAATTCCATTGCTAGCAATATACCCAACCAGGTTGACCTCCTCGCAGTTCTCCCTGGAAACTATCATGGTTAATTCCTGATGAATTCATCATGTTGGGCTAACTGGCCTGTTTTCATTCTCATCTATCACCCTTTACTGGTGCTCCTCCAGCGTATCCCGTTAGCGTAGGCGGGGTTACCATTTCATTTTCACTCATCAAAAAAAAAGTGTGCCTATCAGTTATCTATTAAGCTTTGCTTTGTTCGGGCCTAAATGCCGCTAAAAAAAAAATTAAAATGAAGTATACTGACCAGGTTGTCGTAGGGCGCAGCACGCAACCTCTGCTGGTTGATAGTGAGCGCAAGGTGGTGTGCTGCGGGCGCGGCGGCCGGCGCCACCACGCCAACGCCGACACCGACGCCGCCGACGCCATACTCGGTTCCCACGCCCACGGCGCCCACGCCACCCACGCCGCCCACGCCGCTGCCGGAGCGCCGGCACACCTGACACACAAGTACGTATATTAAACTTCTGATTGCATGACTTTGTAACATTTAAATAGGCAACAATATATTTGATTTTATTAATATTTCTTACTATGACAAATAATTTTTCACCATAAGCTTTAATTATTGTAATATAAATCCAAATGGGGCGATCAAATTTTTTTAACGATTCTCAGATTAACAATCAAAAATTTTTTTCATAGATAGATATAAATAAATTATACTAGTTTGTAATATGAGAGAACAAACAAAGTCGCGAGCACGGCTTGTATATATTAATAACGATATGTATGCACTTACTTCCATCATTTGTACGGAGGCCTTGACGTTATTACAATGGGCATAGTCGACTAAATGTGCCAAGGTCACAAATGCGTGGTTTAGCGCTTCGCCCGGTGTTATTCTTCTCTCCTGCAATGAACGTTATACTTAGTAAATATATTTAATGACGTTTAGATAACAGTTTTAGTTTTAGTCAACTCTTAAGTGAATTTAAATAATTTTTAGATTTAGGCACATTCATAGAACAAAAATCTAATACTTTAAATCATTGGAAACAAAATGATGATATGAAATGTTTACATACCTGGTCCATAGTTAGCATTCTCTTCAATAAATCTATGAATTCCCTTCTGTCTGCTTTCTCAGCCAACAATTGGCCGCCTTCCAGATCAGTTGGTACGTTAACCTGGAAAAATAAAATTATTTTATTACATATATTGAATAAAAATAAATTCTAAAAATATTATAAATGCAATAAGAGCAATTAATAATAAATATTAAGCCATTGATTTTCAGGCGACTGTCTGATTTGTATGAAAGATTTGTTTTGGATCTTTTTTCTTATGCAACTTAGAATGGCATACAAGCTGAGGGCCAACCTGATAGAAAATTATTGCCACTGTACATGATAATTTCATTGCCATATCCCACCCTTCAAACCGAAATAGCCATGCCAGGCAGAGGTGGTACCCAAGTAAACAACTTTTGTATAAAATCTCCCTCTGGTATATGCATTATAACTAACTCTGTATAAATATGAAAGATTTTTAGTAAACGTCTTTTTTATATCAATATTATGTGTAAGAAAAATATTATTTTTATAAAAAAAAAAGTAAGATTTGTTTATTCAAATTTATAAGAGATTTGAGTGTTATATTAAAACTGCAATTCCACAGTCAGCTATCTATGGACCTCGCTCACCTGGCCTATATCGTCGAGGCAGTTGAAGATGTATTTCCTCGCCTCTTTGCTCTTGATGCCGGTCTCTAGTTCGTGCTCCTCTGGGGTCTTCAACCGCCAAAACGGATATGTACTGTCCACGTCCCGGTAAAAGAATTTCGCTGTTTTGCTCGCACTGTAATAAAGTTTAATATTACAATTTTTTTATTAATGATAGATTACTAAACTGATAACTGAATTACGTACAAGCTACGACACTTCACTGCGATCATATTGTTTAGTTCTAATTGTGATGATAAGATGCATTGTGGGTTGCATGCATCGTTACTAGCTCTTCTATTCTATTATTAACCTATAATGTCCCACTACTAAGATCTCCCATCCCATCCTTTCCAATACTTCCTGTTCTGCACTATCTCAAACCAATCCCTCTTAAATTAAGTTTAGGAAATCACGCCATCGCTTTCTGAGCCGGCCTTTACTCTGTTATCATCATATCAGCCTTTATCTGTCTATTATTGTATATAGGCCTTCACCATAGACAAGGAATGGCCCCATTTCTTATAACAGTTTACCGTTGCGGAAAGTACCAATAGTTGTCACACTTGGTAGACGGGTTGGTAACTGCAGTTTGATTTTTGGTGATATTTTAAGGGGACCGTTGCTGTCCACCTCTCGACCATTAAGTTCCCTTAGTCGCCTCTTACGACACCCATGGGAAAGCAAGGGGTGGCCCGTTCTATGCCGAAATCACACGGCAGTTTAGTTCTTACATCTTACTAGTATTATAAAACTGAAATCATTGTCGTATATGTATGTACCTATTGCACAATGAGAATATGAGTTTGTTTGTTCTACCCACATTGGTATACCCACACTAGGTATGATGGAGAAGAATACAGGCTTTTTTCTATCTAGCAATTAATGCCCTTATCCTGATCATAGAGACGAAATCGCAGAGAAAAACTAGTAACAAAATAAACATGAAGTTTTCAATGAAACTACAGCACTAACCTGTTGAGCATGTGTTCTGTGGGCAGACCTTGTGTCTGTGAGATGTATCGAATTTGATCGTACTCGGATGAGCCCGGGTAGAGGGGCCATCCGAGGAAGAGTTCGGCCACTACGCAGCCGAGCGACCACATGTCGATAGCCTCGCAGAACGCCAGCCCCAAGATTATTTCTGGTGCTCTGTGTAAGGTTGAAATAAACTAATAAATACTCTACTATATTTGCAATAAAGTAAAAAATTAATAATAACACTTATCATGCTTCATTTAGTAGTTGAAATTCTAAATTGAATATGAACATATATAACAGAAGTACACCAGTTATGGAAATTTTGGAACTTCTGGTAGTAATAGTGTTGACAGTCACACATACTAATGATAGTGGAATTAAACAAAATAAATACAAATAACGAGTGATAATATTAATACATTATTTTTTACTAACCTAATGGAAGAAAGGCGTAATAGATATATATGTATGTAAAACTATGGGTTCAGATATGGCTTTGAGCTGGTATAGATGGGAAGTATAACGGTACCTGTAGTATCTGCTCTGTAAATAGGTGTTGCAGACGGCCTTGCTGACGTGGGAAGCACTTCCAAAGTCTATCACCTTCACGCGGTAAGGCTGCCGCGCGGGTTCCACCAGCATTATGTTCTCTGGTTTTAAATCCGCATGGATTAGACCCAGTTGCTGTAAACAAGAAATTTTAAAGGTAAAGTTAATTAAACATATTTATTGAAACCATCGTAACCTATTATTTTATTAAAATAACAGGATATTAAATAATAAATTGGTAGAATAATTTTTTTTTTTGCTAATTGATTTAATAGTTATAATAACTTACTGATCTCATTTGACAAAGACATAACAAATAAAAAAATGGTACTTCAAAAATCACTTAGCTTTAACAATTTGAAATTACGAAAGTGTAGGAAACAAGAGGTATGTATAAAGTCATTAATGCCCTCTCCCTATTCTACAAGAGACTTGGTATGAAGACCGATAAATACAAACAATTAAGATGTGTTCACTCACTTTGAGTTTGAGCAGCGCGGTGAGCACCTGCTGCAGTATCGGCCTGATGTACTTGAGTGGTAGTGGCGAGAACTTGTTCTGCTTGAGGAAGTCGTACAGGTTCTGCTCGAGCATCTCGAACACGAGGCACGTGTGCGACCGGTGTTGGAAGCACTCGTACGCGCGCACGAAGTTAAACTCGTCCGCCGACTCTTGCGACAGCCGAGAGAGGATTGACACCTGAACAACAAAATAATAACATGTACATGGCACGGAGGTATAAGACCTTTTTTTTAATACATTATTATTGGAATGGTAACCCCGCCTGCGCTAACGGTATACGCTGACGCGCCACCAGTCGTTCGTTTCTAGGCGGGATAACGTAAAAGTCGACCTGACCAAAGTATATTGCTAACATATGGACTGATACTCCGCATTACTAACAATCCCTTCCCCCCTGGCATAAGACCGTTCTAACATTAGGAATGGCGTATACGTGGGGTACTACCAAGGGAATGTAGTAATTCATGATTATAGCAACTATGGTTACCACTTTCCATCAGGTGGGCCGTCAGCTTTTTATATGAGTGATAATAGAATGCTAACCCCACCTACGCTTCCGTATATGCTGACCCTAGTGGATAACAGATGAGGATGAAAATAGATCAGTTGATCATCCAACCAACGTGACGAATTTGACAACAATTAATCACGATAATTTCCAAGGGGAGCCACGTGGGGGTTAAGCTTGTCAGAACAAGAGTATATTGCTAACAATGGGGCGGCTAGTTCCCATTATTAACAATCTCTTTCCCCATTAGCCGTAATGTGACTCACCAAACGATAACTTTACATGCCATCTAAACCATGAAGCAAGTAACAATCACTCCCAAATGATTCAAACGTGAGTTTGAAAATCGATCGTGGGAACCCTGGACAGGAGTCACCGATTGATAAGACTGTCGTCGAGTGGCGTGGTTAAACTTATGGTATTTTATTGTGACCAGGTTCTAATGCATGAGCATAGAACCTGGTCACAATAAAATACCTCAACTAAACCCCTAAACTAAACAATTAAACAGTTATTCTCCTTAAACAATTGTTCTATTTATTACAGCTGAAAACCTTTTCTTTTTATTAAGCGAGATGATATAAAAAAAATAATTATGGGGACTATGTGGCAATTGTCAGAACCGATATATTTAAATTTAAAATTCAACTTGTTTATTTAAAAAAAAAAAAAGATATACAGCGGAGGTGTTTACAAATTATGTAAATTAATTTAGAGATAAGTTGCATGTAGTTTCAATCATCCAATTTAAACATTACTGTGCCTTATAATTCTTATATTTAAATTAAAATACCAAATAGTTGAACAATTCTTTAAAACTTATCTTAGCACGTGGACTTTAAGGTTCAAAATTGGATATGTTTTTATACCAGAATCTACATTTAATATATAAACAAAAGCAAATCCACATGGACGGTATCTATAATGTACATTAATTTATTATGAAATCGACCTCAATTTGGTGCAATACGCTCAACTATAAGTGTACACTGAGCTTATAACGTGGACAGGCACTCAAATTGGTAAATAGGATATTTGGCGTAACGCCAAACTGTATAGGGCTGACATTATTAGCTAAATCGAACGGATTAATACAGTAACGTGAAATAGACACATAGACTACCCATCCTTAACTTTTTTTATGCAACTTAGAATGGCAAACAAGCCGACGTCCCACCTAATGGAAAGTGGTAACCGTCGCCTATAGACAACATATAGAGTATACTGTATCGTCTAAATTGTATAAAAAAATATAATAATTTTATACTAATAATAAGACTAAATACAATCAACAAGAATACGCTTAATATCAAATCAACTTATATTGCTTTAAATCGAAGAAGGCATTATTGAAAACTCGTTTTGAAAATAATATCCTGAAAATGTACTTGCAATTATTGGATAGCTGGAATAGTGCCAACTGCACATTGAATTCCCATTTAAAATGTTGGAATAGAGAATAAACATCAGATCAATAGAACTATGCCTTTTATGCCTTTTTATGGCATATACATATTTTTCTTACCGTATCTATCATCCATAATTATAAAAATATAATGTTAAAATTTTACATGCAAATTTCAATGAAACTATGAGACTATGAAACTATTGGCAACGCATGGGGGTATCATGGGCGAAACAGTATACTCTGTTATGTCCATGGTACTGCTTATATCTATAGGCGACGGTTACCACTTTCCATCAAGTGGGCCATCAGCTTGTTTGCTATTCTAAGTAGTATAAAAAAAAATTACAACTTATTCTATTACTAACTATGGTTAGCTAGTCGCCGAGATATTACTATTTTCTGAGAAATTAAATCAGCATTTTCTGTCCTTGTCTATTGGTTAGCACTATTCTGTTATTCTATAATGCACTATTGTGATCAATAGTGCATTATAGAATAACAGACTACTTTTTACTACTTGTAGGCACTATTTTTTACTATTTGTAGGCATTTTTATGCACTTTATGATTTTTTTAACTTTCTAACTACTAATATCATATAGTGAAATAGAATGAATACATACCTCAATCTGCCCTTGGCGAGCATAGCTGGGGTGGTTTTTTAGTATCTTAATGGCGACTATTTCATTCGTGCCCTTCTTCCAGCACTTCACCACTTGACCGAATGTACCCCGCCCGAGGAACTCCAGAACCTCGTACCTAAAAATATAATTATTGCATCATTTCATACACTAAGATCAATTTTAAGAAAAGTACTAAATAAAATTTATTTTTAAAAGGTACAAGAAGTTATTTATATAATGAGATACGCCGAGACAAACATACATACTACTCACCCGAAATACCAGGTACTTAGATAAATTTATGTAGTCAGGTAAAAAGGAAACATTAAAATCAGGCCTTATTGTTCCCTACAAAAAAGAAATTGAATACATGGTACAAACAATTACAAGAAATAAATTTTACAGAGAATACTATTGTATTATTAAGAGGCCTTAATATCACTTGTAATTGTTTGTATCTGTAATAAGTTTACTATTGTAGTTTTTCGGAGGAAACAATAGAGAGAGAAACCTATCACTAAAAGCTATGTCAAAAAGGCAACCTTTGGCTAGGGTGAGGGAGGAGATTGTTAGCAATGGGGACTAGAGGCAACCGCCTTCAACCGATTCTACCTGGAAATCATTTGGGTAACTCCTAAACAGGCATCTGCAGACGTTTACTAATGATTATCAGCATGGCAAGGTTTACTTTCCTAATTACATACTTAAATAAATCATCGGACGAACAATCTGCGCGTCTACCATGAAATGAAATCCGAAATTGAGTCCGAAATTTCGTGTTTTTGTTTATACCAAAATCGGATTAATAAATGGAGTTTAACATTTCGTTCGTCATACATCCTATCATAAAAGTCCAAAGGAAGAATATTTTAACATTTTTAATATTTCCAAACGACATGTATTATGTAATTTTAACATCAAATTTGTGTTTCGTTTGGCTTCGAAATTTCGGAAAACATTTCATGGTAGGCCCTCTGGTCATTGCTTTACAGTGTTAAACTACCTATTCGACGAGGAGTAGAGCACCTCATGCTGTACCAGCTGGTAGTCGCCATCACCGCCGCAGCCGGAGCCTGTGGTATCCACGTATGTGGTAGACATGTATGTATTAGCTACATATAAATGTACCAACTACAAAAATTTATTTAATAGATTTAAAATCAGTGCACTTGGACAAAGATGTATAAACGATATTGTTTATTATCAATAATTCATTTTACATGGTAAGGAGGTATAACACCTTAGTCTTTAAGAATGGTAACACTTTATGGGTGCTATATGCTATCTATCTACGCCAAATCTCTTGCGGAGTAGGCAGGTTGTATGCTGTACTTAATAATATATTCTGTGATGTCTATAGGCGACGGTCATCACTTTCAACGGTTGAGCCATCAGTTTGTTTGTCATTTCAAGTTGCATTCAAATTCAAATCATCTTTATCCAAATAGACTTATTTACAAGCACTTTTAAATTGTCATTTTTTATAAATTAAAAGACAACCCATAAGGTCCCAATACACATATCTCTATCCCTGTTAATTGGATTATATTAGCTACTATTACTACGATCCCTGAGCGGTATGTTACACAAGATTTTATTGTTAAGTTTTCCTCTTTGCACTAGTGTATTGTGCTTTATAAGGGTAGATAACACATAGCAATATCTATTTTTGTTATTGGACCAGTATATAGGTACTGGTCCAATAACAAATAATGTTAAAAGTTTATACATATTAGAAAATAGATATCCGACCGATATGGGAGATATCGAAGTGGGTGATGACCTTTTTTCCGCCATCAATGTCCAGAGGACACCAATATATAGATATCGGATCGATATCCATATTACCCATGCCTAGTACTTTATTCTATTGCCTTCTACGACATCACAGAAATAAAAAGATGAAATAGCGACACATTGTATTCTTACTTCTTTATATGTAACGAGATCTCTCACAGAATGCTACACTGTCTAGAACTCTAGAGACCCATAGGACATAATAGTGATCTCTTTTCAAATATTCACTACAAAGATTTTAAGAGGTAACAATAATTTTATGACATTATTTCTATAGTGTATAAGGTACGAAACATACTCATCCGACCGTGTTTAGAACAATGGTTTAGTACAAATTTAAATAAAGTAGATTCAAATAAAGATACGATATTAAAATGAACAAGTTTATAATGGAATCAATGTATGAACAATTTACTTCTACGTAAAATATTGGATCTAAACATGGGCCGGATGAGTATAGTTAGCGTCTAAGAAGGATAGGTGCATGAAAATTCAAACAAACTACAGGTTTGGTCTGTACGCGTGGCATTGTTACCTCCTGTCAGGTTTGTTGAAGTTTTATACAACATTCCAGTCTAGTGGTGGTGGTTAGGTAGAGCGCCCTTTGCCCTTAAATAATGTATAGTGTTGGTGCAATTTGATTTGTAGATCGGTATGTCTCAATTCTCAAATAAAATATGTTTTTTTAACATCACCGGCTTAGTTGTATTTCACCTACCCAGTTACATTGTGTTATGTGGCAAGCATGCATTATATGACTCATATGTGTAGTATACTCCTCTGAGTTGATGGGTATATATTAGTGCGTGTGTACATATCATCATCATTTCAGCCATATCATCATCATCTGTTCACTGCTGGACATAAGCCTCCCCCATAGTCTGTCATAAAGAACGGCCCTGAGCCACCTGCATTCACTAACTCTCTGCAATACATTTCAGGTCATCACTTCATCTAGTGGGGGGGGGGGGTCGTCCTACACTGCGTTTACCCGTACAGGATTGCCACTCAAGAACCTTTCTTCCCCACCAGCTGTCAGTTCTTCGAGCTATTAGTTAATTATTATAATGGTTCTTTTGCGGATATCCTCTTTAATAAGGGGGCCAGGTGGATCGTACCGACTCCAGAATTGTCTAGTGCCCACACTAATGCCTCAGCCTAACTTACATCTATGCACAAGCACACGTATAAGAGCATATTTGTCTTTTTTAAAGAGTCAGACCTATCCTGGTAATTTTATCTTAAATACGCTAACCTTTGACGCTAATGGCGTGCGTGCGTGTGTGTGCGTGTGTGTGCGTGTATGTGCGTGCATGCGTGTGCGTGCATGCGTGTGCGTGTGTATGGCGCATGTATGCGTCTGTTAGCGCGTGTGCGTGTAATAGGAGGTAACAACAACAATTGGTTGACATTACGTTTGTGGTTACCTTGCGGCTGGGGCGGGTTCGGCCCACCCGCCGCCAGCTGCTTGCTGTGGGCCGTCGTCGTTGCGACCTGCGGTGCCGTCTTGTGTCGCGCGCCCGCCGCGCTCGAAGCGCCTGCAGCGCCCGCGACGCCAGCAGCGCCGCTGCCAACCTGCGCCCGAAGCTGGTCCCCGCTATCTCCAACACTGGCCGACACATATGAAATAAACATTTAGATGGAAACACAAATATTAAAATACTAGCTTTTACCCTGACTTAACCTGAATGTAAACCCTGAGTTTACTGTACAATCTGATATGATCCTTCTCCACTCCATATAAAACGTGTATACCAATATTCATAGCGATTGTTTAGACCGTCAAGGCGCTATAACAAATAAAATAAATTTCTAATAACTGAAAAATGGGTATCTTTTCCCACTAGTATTATTGGTACCAATCAGCTATGTTTATATATTTTTATTACAGTCTGAAAAAATATAACAGTAAAATTAAGTCTATTAACTTAGAACATATAAAATTATTAAGTAAGTACTTTAAAGAATGTAATAAATTTTTTATAAACAACTATTTGGTTAGAATACACACATCAAAAAAGTTTAAGACACACATAGTATTTCAAATTACTAATCAATTATTATATAATTTCTTAGCAAGTGGGTAATACCTATGTAAACTTTTTTGATCTAGAGGATATACCATACTGGCTGGTTGTAAAAAAAAATCGAGTAGGTATCATTTGTTTTTTTTTTCACAAATTCAAAAGCGAATGCATTTGTTCAAATTTTATAGCGTTTTATTAAAATTTTGTATTTTGTATCAATATTATGATTTAAAGCTTTCTCATCTCTTTTAGAGATGAGTTCGCCTTTGCTAACATTGTTATTAACTTATTGTTGATACTGTATGTTTTAATAAATATAAATAGATACTGTATGTTTCAATAAAGAATGTATTAATAATTTGAAAAATGTTTTGAACAAATTTGGATTTTGAGACAATTTTTACGTCACGGAGCGACGTCATTTGAACGCAGATGTAATGCAAAGAGCTGTAGGGATGTTGCAAGCGGGAAGAAGTCAAAATAATTAATATTACGAAGTCGGGCTTGTTTATTACAATTCTAAGTTGCATAAAAAAAAAAACAAAAGGTGTGTACTGAATTCAGGGGAAAAGAACTTTATCGTTTGTTATTAGTACATAGTTTCAAGAAACGAATTTAATAATACAAAAGGTATGTACTGCATTTTGGGGAAAAGATCTAGTTCGTATGGCATTTTCATAGAAAACAGGGTTAAAGATTTCTTTGCAAATTTACGTATATGTAAAGTAAAAATTCAATATAAATTAAAATAGGTAATTGTACTGTTAAATCGATAGTATACTACACCGCGTATGTAATTACCAAGGAATTTATAATAAAATTATTTTATAACGAATTAAAATCATTTTATTATAAAGCAAATTTTTAATACTTGAAATAATATTATAAAATTTGATTGATACGTATTTTATTTCAATTAGTCTAATGCCAAAATTATAAATAATTAAAATAAAATTATACTAATGAATATAAACGATGGGTACATATGTCTGAAATAGTACGATTTTATTGATATTAATTTATTAAAGTACGAATCAATATACGCTCGTCACTTGTAACAAGTTTTATTATACAATAAAGACAGAAATAAATAAATACATGTACACCAACTTCAATGTTTAGGCTATTTTTTATACTACAAAGGTGGCAAACAAGCATACAGCCCGTCTGATGGTAAACGGTTACTGTAGCCTATGGACGCCTGCAACACTAAGGGGGTGACGTACACGTCGCTGACCCTGTAGAGATCTCCATATACAGGATTCATTATCTTTTGAAAAGTGCCTAATTATATTTCGATAACTATTCCTTTATTACTATACTTAAGTTACATATTTAGTAATGCATGCGAATCAAAGCACAAAAGGAGCAATTTGCCTAATTGTTTTATAATATCTTTACTAATGTTGAACATGAAAGCAAATATGTTTGTTTCCTATAATTCATTAGTGTAATTTAATTATAATCACTATAATTAACATTTACACATTAGACCAATATGAATAAAATATGAATGAATAAAATTCCAATCAATCGAATACGAATTAAAATTATTTTCAATTCCTTAGTCGGTAGGTACGCGCTGTGGAATACTGTCTTACAAAAGAATTACTTATTTTCATTAATCTTTTATGAAATTATGCTTTACATTTATGTCAAATAGCGAAGAAATGAAATAATAATAACATATGGACATTTATACCGAAATTCCTGTACACCAAGAGAAATAATCGGCATTGAATGAATGTGCATTAAGTCACGCACACAAAGGGGCCCGCCCCTATGCCTGTGAATGTGTGCGGGACACCTGCATCCCTGAAGTCGTTTTTTGTGGAACATTTTTCTTGTGTTCCAATAGCTGGAACCTAGTCATTTTGGTTAAAAAAATAAACTTATGATTACATTTTGATAAAATTTCTATGGGACCAATCTGTAAGTACGTATTCTTTTATCTTTTCAAATCGAATTACAAATGACGGAGTTATGAGGTAACAAACTAGAGGAAAAATGTTCCATTGTAATATAAAATCACCCAATATATATATATATATATATATAATCTATATATTATAAAAGCTGCTGATAGACTGACTGGCCCATATCAGCCCCTAATTGAAACCGCTGAATGTAGAGTTTTAAAAACAGAATAGCATATTCTATTCTACACTACACGCAAGCGAAGCCGTAGGCAAAAGCTGATACTATATAAAATATCGTATCTTTAAGTACATAGAAGTTAGAAATGTTACATGTAAAAGCCGTCCCCAAAGTTCTATGGAGAGGGTCGCCAATTACCATGAACGGCGTCGCTGTTTCGGCAGTGCGATATTTTACCGCCTTTATGCGTACTCATAGACTTGATAAAACCAATGTTTGTATGGAATACGCTATAAAATTGCAATTCAATCACTACTATGTAGTAGTGATTGAATCGGACACTGTGAACATTCACAGTGTCCGAGAAAACTTTTCAATCACATTATCTTTCTACTGTTACTTGCTTATTAATACTATTATTAATTTGTCAACAAGTTTGTCATCATTGTATTCTAATTTAATATGTATACATTGTATAATAAATAAATTTATTATTATTGTGAAATAAATAATATTTATTATTTAGACATATAGGTATCCTTTTAAAATATTGACAAATTGATATTTAAATTATAGCCGGTAACGCATTTATTATAGGTAATATCTTTAAATGAAAAATACATTTTTGGTCTATATACATTTGATTTTTATATAGGTAGGTATAACTACTTTTATATAGGCATACTTACACCTATATAAAGATACTTATACCTATAAATTAAATTTTAATAAATAGAGAATTTTAATTTGAAATTTTTCATATAATAAAACTATAGATGTCGAATGTCTGTGCATTGAAAAAAAAAACAAGCTATAAACCGAATCAGATGGATGTTAGAAGTGAAATAGAACACATCCAGATTGTTTTCAATTTTTTTGTTTCTCTGTCTGTTTGTACGGACTAATCTCAATTCCAGTTTCAATCAAATCTTGCTGCAAAGCTAAATACATGTAAATAGCTTTCTAGCATACTATCTTTAAATTAAAAACCTCGAATTTATACTTTGGTTGTTGAAAATTAAATTTATTATATACAAGTATATAAAAAATGAATTATAAGACTGCACTTACATATCAGCTACAATATATTCTTCTTCTTCGTTCAAATAATCATCGTCGTCGTAGTCGTACTTAATAATTCTAGGCATTGTGAGATCCATTATCAAATATACACTATACAACTTTGTACACTATTATACACTAACGTTTTACTTATGTCATAAACAGTCTAAAATTGTTCGCGTTAATTTAAAAAATATTACACTAATAAATTCTACTTCGCTAGTGTAGCTGCGTACGCGCATCGTCGAGGGCGATTACTAACTGAGCGTCCCGCGCCCTTGCGCGCTCGAAGGGTGGCGGTCTTATCGAGTAGCAATGTAGTGGGGGTCACAGGTAGTAGTTGGGGTAGCGTGAAAGAACAAATGCCACGCACATATTGTACGCAAGCGCAGCGTTGCCAGATGCAGCCAGTTGATAAATAATGTTTTCTGTAAATTAATACGATTTCCTTTCTCTTTCGCCCAAACAGAAACCAACACAAACACTCCAAATACTTCTCTAAAAATTCTATTTTTCTAAAATTTCTCCAACAACAAAAAAAATTGCGAAAAGTATACCTAATCTGGCAACACTGTGCAAGCCCATTCATTACTTGTAATACTCGTAAATAAGTGCGTACGCACAAGTTCTTTGAATGCCGTAATTTACATTAATGTGTTTTCTATCTCATTTCATGCCCTGAGTGTGAGTGGGACAGTATTAGGACACGTGTACGTTCGAGATTAGTGTTATTTATTTGCTGACGTGCCAGATTGATATAAACTATCTCTTTTCCTCAAACATGCGTTACTGATGTTGAAATGATATGAAATTTTAGATATACGAATAAATAGGATCAAATTGAACTAAAAATATTTTTGATGTTTGGACAGGTAGGACAAGATACTTTGTACCCAAATTTCAATTAGTTCGAACTACTAAGAACATTTAAAAACAATAGCCAAATATGACCTACCGCTTTAGAATGATGGATTTACCAGGGAGCAGGATTTAATTTTTAATTTATCTAATATTATTTTATACATTTATAATTAAAGTGAATTAGTTAATAATTTATTTCAATTACTCGTGCATAACAATTAACAACATAATAAATGCTACGTGATCATGATCATGGTCTAATAAATTTTAGTTACGCTATGCAAAATAATCTGTTGCATCGAAGAAATTAAAGTGAAAGTATTGCACATTTTCATGATTTTCCTCTAATAGATAATTAAAACTTATATCTATTTTTTATAACACCACGATGGCAAACAAGCAGCCTGCAGCCTGCCTACAGCCTGTCTGATGTTAAACGATTATATTAACGGTATATATCAACATGTCTACAAGGCATCCGATTCTAATATCGGATTTTACATTTCTTGTTCTAATAATATGAACTCACAAATCAATCAATTGGGCTTGTCGATAATATTCGTCAGATTTCAGACAATGTCCTGGAGACAATTGCCGGCAAAATGGACTGTCTGAACTGTCTATACTCTATGTTTATACTGACTGGAATAAAATATTGTATTAGGTAGGTTATCAAATAAGAGTGGTTTCACCACTAACTTACTAACATAGATTACGTAAATTATAGCTAACAAAATGGACTTTATGTTGTCTGAATAAATAAATATTATTATTTTCGGTTTTCTAAAGGTATATTACCTTTCTTTCTGAGAAAGAAAGGTAATATACCTTTCTTTCTCAGAAATAACCGACTTCAATTTGAAGTAGGTGAAATAAAATCCCCTGTTACTTCCCAGTAGAGAGAGACATTAATAGAGACAAGTGGAACTTGTCAAAATATATGGGATGGATGAGTCAACACCGAAGGAAAGTCTCTTAATTAGAAAAATAATCATCAAAATCGCATCACAGTTTTCGACACGGAACAAAATAAAATTTAGACCTTTTCTATACTTCAACATCAATACCTGTTATAAATGTAAAAAAATACAGGGATGTTTGAATATTTGCACACTCAGACGCCGAAAACTTTAATAGACTATATTCTAGACGGCAACCCATAAAAGGTACCTTATTATATTACAGTATATTCTGAGAACTCCATAATACTGTTCACGCATAAAGGAAAAGGTAATCATTACCCACCAGATTGGCCGTCAACGATTCAGCATGTTTGCAATTCTAAGTATCAGAAAAATGCAGGAAAAGCGCAACTTTACTGATATAAAAAAATACTAGACGATGTCTGTACATGGGGATAATTAAGAAAAATTATTATAAAGGGTCTAAATACTCGTAATACCAATAGATGCCAAAAGAATAACTTCTGAAATTTTGTGACTATCTTCGTACTTGTTCCATCTTCGCGCAAAAACTATGTACGTAACAATTAATGTAGTTTACACAGTCGTATTCCTGAAGGACTTCCTTAAAATCCGGCATATGTTTTCGTGATAATCTATTCAGAACTATTTATTCTACTTCATTAGTTTTCCTCTTTCTAAAATCCACGCGTACGATGGTACAGGTCAAAAATAGTTTTATATAAAACTAGCGGCCCGTCCCGGCTTCGCACGGGTGGACATTTTTACAACATTTTAAAAAGTGATTATTGTAACATAACGACAATAGTTGGACCTATAGTATCGCGAAGTTTTTTGTAGTTATTGATATTTTGTTTAATATTGTAGAACATACTTTTGTTCTATCACCAACAGTTTCCGCAGCGCACGCGACAAAAAATATTTTATAACATTTTTTTACACCTCGAGTTACGTTACTAAAGTTTTAGTAAGGATCCCTAATGTTTTCTAGCAATAAATATAGCCTAGGTTACTCAGAGTGAATGTAGCTTTCTAATGGTGAAAGAATTTTTGAAATCGGCAAAATAGTTTTTGAGTTTGTTCATTACAAACATACATACAAAAATACAAATCCTTCTTATTATAATATTACTGTAGATGTAGGTATACTAACGTCGCGTCGCGGCAGCAGGGTCTGGTACAATGCACAGGCGGAGCGGGTGGAGGCGCGGGCGGCGGGGACCGCTCCGCATCGCACGCGCGACTCGGCACGGCGGGCGCGGCGCAGCAGCCCGGCCCGACGCCTGACCAACACTTGTTCTGAAAACAACCATCGTATATATTTAATTTGATGTCGATTGAGTGTTTTCTATGTGTAATATGTACGTATTTATAAAAAAAAATACATTCAAGTTATTTTATAATTTCTTACTAAATAAACTAGATACAACTAGCATATTCCATCAACAGTATATTACTTATATTTTAATAATAACATGTATGAATATAGAATATGATAATAGTTTTTAATATACGACTATTTATATGATATTGCATACTAGCTGTATACTGCGGCACTATCCGCGTGAATCAGTATATAATGTATACTACATGTTAAGTTAGGATATAACCTACCCATGTACAAAATTTCATTAAAATACATGTAGTATTTTTACATGAAAAAGTAAAAAAAAACATTCATCCATTGCTACAAACTTTCGCATTTACATATAAATACGACAGTCAAATCCGCTCCTTCATTGGACCACAGAAAATATTGTAGATAATAGTACAAGTACAAACAAAAAACGTACTCTCCTTTGAGAGTTTGCATTTGACTCTACGTAAGCCTTAAATATAAGCAATAAGACCGCCTTTTGTACTACACTATACGTATTGAAAATTGTTTTAACAAATCATGTTATGTTGGTGCAATAAAGTGTTAAATAAATAAATAAATAAATAATGTAAAGTTAAAGCATAAGATCTAAAAAAGTAACCTAACATAATATGAATAAAATTCACTACATGTAAGAGGTATTCTTTTTTAGTAAGAGATATATTTAAATAGATGCCGCAACTGCATTTAATTTTCTTGGCAATTTGTGATCTTAAATTCGTCCCAATATAGTCTGCATTTTTTATATAACATAGGGGGCAAACTAGCATGCGGCTTATCCGATGGTAAGTTATTACCGTCTCTCATAGTCACTCGCAATATCAGAGAAATTGCAGGTGTGTTGCCAGCCTTTTAAAAAGGAATATGCTCTTTTCTGAAAATTTCAAGTTCAGCATTTAAAATTCAAAATTCAATTAGGAGTACCGACATAATTAATATTAATATATTTTAAGAAGTATAATTATAAAGTATTTATTCGTACATTATTATACCAATTACAATTACGTACTAATAAGTTCATTAATTACTCATTGGTAATTACAGTTTCGAATATGAAATATATTAAAGGGACTGAAAGGTGATTAGAAAATTAAGCAATGTACCCATTTGCCTATCTTTATTGCCCCATTAGTGAACGTTTTGAATAACATCTATTGTTGTCCCCATAAAGATAGATAACACAGAACAATTTCTTGTAAATAGGGAAAAATATCATGGGTCTCCCCTAAGATAAGGGTGTTTATGTATCTAATATCTACATTTTAAAGCGCTTAGTATAAGTGATATTGAATGTTCCCGTATAATTTTCTAAAATTGATTTATTATTATTTTGTTTTTCTTAAAAATAAACAATAATACAAAATAAAGCAACAGAAATCCATTATTTCGTTTGTAGGTAAACAAACTCGTTAGTTCCATTTAGAAGATAATGAGACTGTTTACTGAATATGCTATAAATGAAAATCTACCTATATTGAAAGACGCCATAAGATTTAATATTATTATTATACATTATCATCATCATATCAGGCTTTAATTGACCATTGCTGAATATTAGCATCGCTCTTGGGGGGTTTGCCAATAGTTGCCACGTTTGGCGGGCAGATTGACAACCGCAGTTAGGTTTTGAAGATGTTTTAACGCTGCTGCGCATCCCTTGTCCTTCCTTAGCCGCCTCTTACGACCATGCGAAAAGGAGTGGCTTCTATGTTGGGACCGCACGGCGATAATGTGCATGTGATTTTTTCATACTACTACGGTATTAAACAAGCATAGGTCGCGTCGTGGTTTATTACTTCTTAACCATCATTAAAACAGTGCATGCCTTATAAAAAATTGAGAAGGACATAGCCTATTTTTAATGCCGTACTCCGCTCACGCGATCAACGTTGCATGTAAAACTAGTATGCTATATGAAAAAACTTAAACAATTATTACAGATATGTGAGCATAAACGCTATAGAACAGAGGTGGACCACTTGACTAGACCCAAGATATACTGTTTCCTGTCGAGACCCTGTGCGATCTACCAATTAAATACTTCCTGAAATCTCAAATGAAACAATATAATTCAGTACTCAATTATGTAGTATTGTAGTATTTTATTAAGAGGGAAAACATAAATCTGAAAATTATGCTTAGTAATTACTTATTTATATTAGCATGCATACAGCACTGCGTCTGAGCATTTTCCGCTAGGTTAGCAAAATATTATATTTTTGCTTTGCCACGATCGACTGGACTAATAGTCGCGATCGACCGGTTAGCCACCTCTGCTATAAAACATATGAAACAAAGGTTTAAGAGTACTACTTAGAATGGCAAACAAGCTGACATCCCACCTGGTGAAAAGTGGAACCCGTCGCTTATAGGCATGAGCTTTTGTACCTTGGGCATAATAGAGTATACTGTTTCGCTCATAATACCCTCCATGCGTTGCCATTCCTGAGAACTCAGGTGTTATTTCTCTGTGCACAGTAAATTTACTGCCATATCCCATCCTTCAAATCGAAACACAGCTCTGTAAAAACAACTACTTCACGGTAGAAACACGAATGAGACAGAGGTGGCCAAACAAACAAATTTTGTACAAAGTCTCCCTCTGATTATAGTAAATACTTTATAATCAAGCAATCAGAAATACTTATTTTTAAAAACTATTTTCAATAATTGTCAATCGCTAATTTCTTTACTAATAGGCATTAAAACTTATTTAACAGCATTTAATTACGTTTCAAGTTTGATAGAGAGCAATTACCGAGATGTTGTTCGCATAACTGTGAGATTTCTCTTAATATAAACTTCACACAAAGTACGAGTGAAATATACAATAGCATATAGTAAAATTAAAAATACTTTCACAGTAGAGAGTGGCGTTCATGACAATACTATTTGGTTTCTAATAAATAGTTAATCATGTTTCAACAAATATTTAATGTATCCAATGTTACATTGAGACACATATTTAAAATATGAAACACAAAAAAATGATAAAAATCGGTTCCTGATCGGTCAACATACCTAATCGCGTAAAGCAACATCAAAAAATATGAATTGAACACCTCTTTTTTAAAGACATATAAAAATTATTTGTTACCTATAGATGTGAACAGCGCCATGGACAACACAGTATATACTGTGACTATCATGATACTCCAAATACGTCGCCTATCCTGAACATAGTATTTTAACTCGTTTGTCATTCAAAGTTGCATAAAAAAGGCGAAGGGCTAAAACCAACTTTATTACCTAAACTTTTCATGGGCATTTCATTTCAATGAACCAAATATCAGGTGAGCAACCACCATACTTGACAAGTTACACCCACGTATACAAGATAGATCACGTGAACCTTACCGCAATGCGATCGACAGCCGTACTAGATGTCGACTGTAAACCAGTCCGACCACACATTAGTTGGTAAGTATGGGTACGTATCTACAAATACTAGTCGTACAGTAACCAACAAAGGTACCCGCGTACTATATACCGTGTCCGTATAGTTAATGTTCTCGTGTGTTGAGATCTGTTCAATTACTATTGGTGCCAAATGACCATGTATTACACAACGAAATGTGTTGATGACACGGTCTTGAGGCTCATGGCGGACAAGTGGTAATAAAGCTATATACTTGCGTACTATTTATATAGATAGATACTCTTGTTTCCGCCAAAAGATTACAATAGTAAAGTTATTATAGATACAAACAGTTACAAGAAACGATCATAGTGAAAAAACAATGGGCGACCTTATCTTTAAAAGCGATTTCTTTCAAGCAACCTTTGGATGGAGAGGAGTAATTATAAACAGTTTGATCGGGGGGTATGATAAAAATTCTGTTTTTAAACGCATATGGAGATGTAATCCTAATATTATAATATGTAAGATGCAAATAGAATGGTAACCCCGCCCACACTATCGATATACGCTGGCGGAGCACCTGTGAAGAATGGAATCGGATCAATTGGCCTTATCGTGGCAAATTCGATAAGAATTAACTACGATGGTTTCCAGGCAGAACCGCGTGGAGGTCGATCTGACAAGGTATATTGCTAGCAATGGAGTTAGGTCGCATTACTAATAATCCCATTTCCCCCATACTGGTATTAAAGTACTCTATTACTTTTTTTAATTCTTAAAGCCTTTCCTCCTTCAGGTATATTAGCCCCATCAACACACGTTTGGCGACACGTGTTTCACCTCTAAACGAGGCATCTTGAGGTAAATTATTCGATCGCTGCTCGGAGTCTAGTGTTAATCGCTCGACACCAAAATTGCGAAAGTTTCAGGAAGATACCTCGTTTAGATATGAAACACGTGTCGCAAAACGTGCGTGAACAAATGGAAGAACCTCTGGTAGGAATAGTGGTGTTAAATTTTTGAGTGTTGGCAGGCATAGTAATGGTAGCGTAATTAACAAATAAATCTAACCAAATAACCACAGATAGATACGCTTACGTTATGGTATGCATGAGATAGAACAAGAAGCCGTATGATGCTGTCTCACTATATCTTAAGGACTTGCTAAATTTGTTTGCCACTTCTTTACGGGGCATGGATGAAAAAACAACAAATTTTCAATATTAATATAGCTGGCCGCGTGGACCCGGCATAGAATAGACCACCCCTTCGTTTCCCGTGAGTGTTGTAAGAGGCGATTAAGGCAACTTAATGGTCGAGGGATGGGCAGTAGCGTCCCTTTTAAAACATCACCAAAGTTTAAATGCGGTTGCCGACTTGCATGCCAAGCATGGCATGAGGGCATCCCCATTCGGGGAGACCTATGTTCAGCAGTGAACAGTAAACGGCTGAAATGATCCAGCTATCAAATTTCGAGGCTCGCCGCATGGAAGGGAGCCTCAAAATGTTTAGTATACTAATCTGACTAATTAGGGGGGAAAGAGATTGTTAGTAATGAGA